TAAAGGCCTAGAAGACTTTCCACGTTTTCCAAATTCTGAACCCACCAAAGTTCAATATATATAAGAAAACAAACCACAACTTGCCAAAGTTTACTCAAAATAAATAAATAAACAAACTCATTTAAAATTCATAAAATTTTAGAACTCGTTCTAAAATAATTTTATTTTTTGTATAAAAATAAAAATGAAAACGTTTTTAATTTTAGACAAGAATCATTTTTAAAAATGCATTTAATAGTTTTATCAAGAGATTATTTTCAATATAAAAAAAATTTATCAATATCTCTCTCTACTCGAGAGAGGAGAAAACATACACAAAAAATATAAAACGACTAAAAATTATTTTTTATTTTTTTTCCATTTTACACTAAATTAAAAAATTATTTTCATTTTTATTTTTTTTATCTTTAATTGTGTTAAACGCCATTTTCTTCCATTTTCATTTTTTCTTTCTCAAAAAATATAAAAAACAAAAACAAAAATAACTCTAAACACAGCCTTAATTTTTCCCTTTGTTACCGAGAAACTGTATTCACTACAGGAGTAATAAAACCTTAAAAATGGGTTTTGTCTGTCAGAAAACAAAGGACTCTCAAATAGCAGGAATTTTATGTTGGCCGAGACATGAGGCATGTGCACCAAAGTACGCATGTAGTAGACACCATGATTTCACATCAACTTCCTCTTTCAGAGAATGTGGGGAGTTGGGAAAGAGCAAAAACAAAAAAAAACAAAAAAAAGAAAAGAAAAGAAATCTATTATTATTATTATTACTATTATTTGGGGTGATGATTTGCCCTAAACTTTATTACCTTTCTAGGATTTTGGTGAGCCAAAATTTTGTGGGGTAGGGTTGCTTGGTCATGTGACACTGGCCTTTAAGAGCCCGTTTGATAAAGGGATTCGTTCCCTGATTCGAATCATGATTCGTGGTTCGTTACAGTATTTTCTCTCACAATAAATACACGTAAATAAAAAATAGTACTAATCACATGGTTCTAATCTATGAACTAAACGGACTGCTTTTAGGGGACCACTTGGCCTAATGAAGGACACCAACTATTGATACTTGTATCCCTTATATAATTAGAGATCATTTTGTAAAAGGGTAAAATGAAATGTTATTAATTAGGTTGGTTTTTAAACTGTAGAATTTAGTCAGATTATGTTAAGTTATTATAGAATTTATAGTATAATTTTAATGTGATTTAAGGATTTAAAACTTTGTTTTGTTTGTAGAATATATTTTCATACACTATCATCAAATTCTCAGAGTAATAAAACTCAAAGTTGAAAAACTCAAGAGTTTTTGAAGATTGTCAAAGGCCACGAGTCATGACCATGATTAAATTAGAGACGATAATTGGGCCCGACAAGCTGATCACTATGCGTTTTTCGGGGTTGGGTGGAAAAAACTAATTATAGATTAACCATAGACAGGACGGGGAAGATATTGAATGCTTCACCTTCATATATTTTTATTTTCAAATTAAAATTATATATTTGGAAACTTTGGATGTGTTGTTGGTTGATAGGCCGTTGTTGTACTCAAAAGAAAAAATGTGGTTGCGTTATGTGTTATATTTAGGGCACTTGGGTAAAGGGCACCATCCATGTTCGTAGAAATTTTTCCTAATGTTAAAACTACATCATTTTTTTTGTGTTAGAGAAGTAATTCACTATGATTAAAAAAGAAGTTTATAAAAGAAAATCGCACATTAGTGTTTTATCTAACATCTCTAATTAATCTTATTGCATAAGAAAATAATCGTTTGAGGATATATAATTAGATTTTGTAACTTAACATAAATGATGTTGAAACAGGGTTGATATTGTAAAAATAATAGAAAACAGCCATGTTTACACAGTCACACTTGATTAATGCTTCCATACAAGTGAGTGTGATTTTCGAAATAAGAAAGAGAGAAAAGGAAAAAAAAAAATAAATAAAAAAACCCCGAAGTGTATGACATCAATGTTCACAATCAATAAAAAAGTGACATGAAAATTTTCTTGGTGACATGAAATTGAATGTTCTTTTTTCCCCCTCTTTTCCGTTTACTCTGACATCAATGACAGTTCATGATGAACTGCCACTGGCCGTCCACGTGTCTGATGACTCGACAATCGATGTCGATTGTTTGGTGGGTCCCACTGAATAATGTGATTCAACATTTTGGTGTAAATGGGCCAACGGAAAATGCCATGTAATGTCTTGCGTGTCAATGTTGCCTTATTTATGGGGAATGAAACAGGCGAAATATTCCGCCTACAAAATGATTCCCTGCATTTGAGTTTACAGTCCACTAAATATAGACCCTCGGTGTGTCCAATCATCAACAACGTATCAATGAATGGTGGAGATTTTGGCGGTGGAAGTTGGGTGCATTGGTGGTTACAATAGAGTCCACCTAATCTAGTGGACCACAAGCCTAGCAAATAACTCTTTCTTTTTGAAATCTTCGCGCGCCAAAAACTATAGTTCATTTTATGACACTGTGTCGTCACTCCGCAAAGATATAACGGTTAGTTAGAGTAGATGTGAGGTTTTATTATACAATTAAACTTATTTTAAAATGTTTTTATTTTATTTTATTGGTTCGTCTATGGTGTTTACAGGTTTTATTATACATTTAGGCATTGTTCACTTCGCAGGTTCGAGTTTTCAATTCGAGTTGAGATGTGACATTTTTTGAGATCTTTTCACTGTAACAGAAAAAGTTAAATGTGACATTTTTTGAGAATTTTTTACTGTAAAAACTTAAAACTGAAAATTCAAATCGATGAAATGAACGAGACCTTAAACTGTATTTTAGAATGTTTTTCTTTTTTTTTTTGTTTTGGATTGGTTCTTCGATGGTGTTTACATAGTACATGTGTCAATTCATAAATTTATCATAATTTTTATAATTTTAACATTTAAAGTAAGTTATTCAAATGTATAAGTCATTATATTTATTGTAAATACAATTATAACATTCGAAATTTACAAATTTCAGTACGCGAGTTATTGTATGCCTGAAATCAATGAATGAAATTCTTCTCACAGCACAAAACGACATCCTTTTTGAGTGAATTAAAGAATAATAAAACACAGCTAAGGTGATGGTATAATTAAAACCTACTTTAAACGTGAGGTCTTGAGTTCAAATTTATTCGTTCGAAAAAAAAAAAAAAAGATTATAAAAATGATACGACAAACGATGACAAAAAAGCAGTAGGTAAACATTAGTGATTCTTCTCTAGCTACATTCACGAGAGGGTTGTGCACAACTTTAATGTTCAACCATCAACCCTTCATTAAAGTGAGAGGAGTAAGTTCACTGTTCCACCGTCAACCTTTCATGAATAGCAATAATTTTTGGTTATTTACATTGTAATAAAAAACGAAAGAAAAAAAGAAAAAAGAAAAAAAAAAGAAAAAAGAAACTACTGATTCTGTAATCCGCGAACAAAAAGCAATGTTTTGGAGTTTATATTTCTAGAAGGAAAGATAATTAATTTCATTGCTTTTAAAGATTTGTATTTAAGTTGATTTTAGCTAGCTTTCATTTGTGATTATTTCCATTGAACATGGAGATCATAAGCCCTTATTTTACAGTAAATATAAGGAAGTTTTCAGGTCAATTAAATAGGATTTTAATTAAACGAGTTGTTGTCTGCGGTTCAAGTAATAAAATGAAATATTTAATATCTGAATGTAGAAGAAAAATATTACTTGTAAAAAAAAAAAAAAAGATTCAACGTTTATCAACAATAAAAAAAAAAGGATCATTTACCTACAATTTACATAATTGGAGAATTTCATTAATTAGTCTAATCATTTTGTAACTTATTGAATTGATGCATTACCAATTAACTTAATTCCCCTGATCATGTTAATTAAAATCTCAATGTTGGTATTAAAATGATTATTTTGTTATGATTGTATCTGTTGCAATGCTTTTCCCAGACGGTTCCTGCTAAATGCGCCAATATTAATTTGGATAATAAATCTTAGCTTTTTTTTTTTTCCACTTTTACTTACTGACCAAGTACATTGGTTATATTTGTTAACATCTTGGATTTCTTTTTTCTTTTTTGGATGGGAAAGCAACATCTTAGTATTTTCTTAAAAGAAACAACAAAATAATGCAATACAATAAAATATCACAACTAGGTCAAATGACATAAATAAAGTGGAGTGAGAGAGCGTTTGGTTGGAGGATTCGTTCTCTGATTCAAATCATGATTCATGATTCGCTACAGTATTTTCTCTCACAAAAAACACACGTAAATCGAAAATAATTATAATATTATAATTCTAATCCATGAACAAAACGGGCTCATTTTAAATGATGCGAGTTCGATCCAATAATATACAATCTAAGATCGAACACACACTCTTTTAAATTCAAACGCCACTTCATCCTACCATTTGACATAGTAATTATTGTCATTTTATTTCATTTTTTGTTTTCTCTAATTTTAATTTTATCATCTAGGTATAAACTAAGAAAATGTTGACAATTAAATGTGTCATTATGTATAATTAAGAAAATTGATTAATTATAGAACCACATCAAGTATTACCAAATCCGGCGTATTTTAGCAAATGAATTAACAGAACAAAAAATCTTACGATAATCTTGTACTAGATAATCAATTTTAGGATAACAAAATCTCAGAGGAAGTTACAAAAATCCGCTCCCAATTCCCACCAACAGTTTTCACTCGGTAGTTCCAAAACCAGAACCATGTTAAACATCCACCAATAAATGCTCACAACGTGTCACAAAACCCGTTATTCAATAAAACACGAGAATTCCATTGGCTGGACCAGAGTTCTTCGGTGGTATCGAGACCAGCGAATAATATAACTCCTTAGTCAGAGGAAGAAGAAAGCAAATAGTCAAAATAAGCAGTTTTTAGAAAAAGCATAGAAAAGAGAAGGGGTTTGGTTTCTGGAATCGAATGGAATAAACAAAAGAGAAAAAGAAAAGAAAAGAAAAGAAAAGAACAAAATCCAACAAGAGAGAGAGAGAGAGAGAGAGAGAATTTAGAGAGAGAGAGTGCAAATTGTGAGTTACTTTTTGAAAAGTGGAGAAACCATTGCATAATTGTCATACAGTGATATACATATATATGTATAGATGTATATTTACACAGATAGATATATATAATACAGCTGTGAGGCTGTGGGGCTTTCGTATTCGTGGTAGGGACGGGGTTATCGCCACGAGAAAAAATCGTCTCCTTCTCTTTCTCTCTCTATCTCCCGCTTTCCCGCTTCTTCTTTTCTTGAATCTCATCTCCAAATGAAAGAGAAGTGAAAAGAAACACACACAAAGATAGAGAGAGAGAGAGAGAGAGAGAGAGAGAGAGAGAGAGAGAGAGAGAGAGAGAGAGAGTTTAGAGAGAGAAACAGAGTTTTGAGTGTACTTATTAGGAAGGAGTGGTTATGTGGAGAAGAAGAAGAAGAAGAAGGTGAGTGTGGAAATTATGGACACTCCTGAGAGGAACAAGATCGGAACTCCCGCCTCCAAATTCGAGGTCAGTTTTCGCTGACAAATTCCCTTGTTTCTTCATGTTTCCTCAGGTTTATCGCTGCAAATTCGGTTTCTTTTCGTTTCTGATTTGGAAAAAGTTTCGTTTTTTTAGTAGGTTTCACTTTTGTTCTCTGCATGCGGTTTAATCTGTGATTCCAGTGGGATCAGAGTGTTTGTGTTGCTAAATTGGTTGGAATTCATGATTTTTACGAAGAATCGAAGAGAATTGTTCTCTCTCTCTTGGTGGATGGTTGTTTTTGTAAAATTTTAGCAGTTTTTGTGAATTTTTCGTTATGATGAAGTTTTTAGATCTCCAATTTTGGTTCAACTTGCAGTCTTTTGAGTGTTAATTGCGTGTAATCAGTTTCTCTTGGAAAATTAAAGCTTTTTGGAGTACTTTTTGCTCATAGGATGGCTTAAAATGTTGAATACTCTTCTCTTAGAAATTCATGTACAGTCTACAGTTCTTTTGCCTTTTTTTTTTCCTTTTTTCTTTTTTCTTTTCCTTCTTCTTCTTCTTCTTTTTTTTTTTTTTTTTCCTTCTTCTTCTTCTTCTTTTTTTTTTTTTTTTCCTTCTTCTTCTTCTTCTTTTTTTTTTTTTTTTCCTTCTTCTTCTTCTTCTTTTTTTTTTTTTTTTCCTTCTTCTTCTTCTTCTTTTTTTTTTTTTTTTTCCTACCACCAAAGTCACAAGAGGAAATTCACATTATCCACAGATTTTGGTATTATGGGACATAGTTGTGTAGCCCTAAGGTTTTTATGAAGCTGATATTACATATATGCTAAATGGGTCTACTTGCAAGTTGTCAAAAGTGGAATTAGTTTTTTTTCCTTGAGACCCTATCTTTGGGGGGCTTCTTTTATTTATTTATTTATTTATTTCATTTTAATTAGATTTATTGTTGTCAACCAGTATGTGGGAAACCCTTTTCGTGATCCATCACATGGACCGGACATTTCTTTATTCTTTCAATTTTTGTTGTGAAATATTTGTGTGACCTTTGTAATTCTATGAGCATTTCTAGGCGTTCTTAAAAACTCTTATTCAAATGTGCAGGATTCTCCAGTATTCAATTATATCAATAGTCTTTCTCCTATCAAGCCGGTTAAGTCCCTTCACGTCACTCAAACATTTAGCTCTCTTAGTTTTGCGTCTCTTCCATCGGTTTTCACTTCACCCCATGTCAGTTCTCACAAGGAATCCAGATTCATCAGAAGGTAACTGAATTGACTACTACTTTTTTTTATTTTTTTTTATTTTTTATTTTTTATAAATAATTTCTCATTGTTAATGATACAGAGGCTTTTTCCACCTAGTTCGTGTGCCAATTGTAATTTCCCTCTCTTTTTTAGGCACAGCTCTTCAGATCCATTGAAGCCCGAGATTTCTTCAGAAAATGGAAATGCAGCCTGTACGAGTGAGGGGGTTGGTGTCGATCCGGCCCAGCTTTACAACAACTCGGCTGAGCAACATGAAAATTGCGATTCAGGGGTTGATATTGGAGCAGTTTCTGTTGACCCACATAATGAAGGTTCAAAATTTGTTATTGAACTGCCGCATACTTTAAAGTATGATTGTGGTAGCCCCGATGATTGTGTCTCAACACCTTGTGGTGTTGAGGCAGATTTTGCATTGAAGTTGGTCGATCCATCGGCATCCCTTGATCCTCACGTTCAAGAGGTCCGTGAAAAGGGTTCATCTGATGGTGAAACTCAATACCATGAAATGTGCCTGAGTGAGCGGAAAATTGACGGGGCAGTATGTGATTGGGAGAGTTTGATTTCTGATACGGCTGATATTTTGATTTTCAATTCACCTAATGGTTCAGAGGCTTTTAAGGGATTGATTCAGAATTCTCTAGAGCCTGTAACAAGATATTGTTCCTCTCTTGCTGTAGAACTGAGTGGCATTAACAATGAGCATCATATGCAAATTGTTGATCCAGTTAGTTCTGAACAACAAAACGGAGAAGTACCCTCTTCTGAGATCAGGGATTGCAGTCGGCTGAAGGACATTGGACAAACATGCATGGCTAGTGATCCTGGTGAAACAAAGGATAATGAAGCCGAAACCTATGTCGCATTTTCTTGTAAGGTAAAGAGGAAAAAAAAAAGAATTTGGGTCTTATTGCCATTTATTTTATTCCTAAGTTCTACAATTGAAGAAAGAAACGATTTTAGGTTGCGGGATATGCTCGTTGTTGTCATTTGGTTTTTGTTATACTCATTATATGCTCGTTGTCTAAAATGGTAATCATATTTAGCTTAAGGTTTTGACATTTGTTATTATGCTTTTTATACTAAAATCTCCATATGCTACATCCACAGTTTCATAGCACTGGAGAATACTCTGATACTACTTTAATCATATGTTTTTTCATGTGGCTGTTTGTATGTACAAAAACTGTTTTGGTTGTTTGAACACTGAAACTGGTTTCTTCTGTTTGGTGTATAGTCCGTTTTCAGCTTGCATCGGGGTATGCGAAGGCGCTGTCTAGATTTTGAGATGGCAGGAGCTCGTAGGAAGAATTTAGGTGATGGTTCAAGTAGTAGTTCTGGTTTATCTCAACCTGATGAGAAGATTACCACTAATGAGAAGCAACTCGGTCCTCTTAGACCTTGTGGTGATTCCTCAAGACACGTGTTACCTGGAATTGGGTTGCACTTAAATGCTCTCACAACAACCTCAAAGGGGAACAAAGTCAGAAAGAGTGACAATTTGTCTTCTGGAATTCATATAAGGCTGCCTAATTATGCTGCTTCCATCCATTCTCCGAGAGCTGGTCAAGAAGCTCTTGATAAATCCGAAACTCCAGCTTCTTCTATAATCGACACAAATGCGGCAGAAAATGGGGTCCAGCTTTTGCAAGATGCATCTCAAGCGCCAGGATCTCTAGCTAGTGAAGATTTCAACCAAAACAGCCCCAAGAAAAAGAGGTAAGTGATGTAGTCTCCAACATATTCTTATTTACTTTGCTATGTCAATATAAAATTTAAATACAGTACATTAGTTAGCTCTCAAATTTCTTTGTTACCTCATGTTTTGAATTCATATTCAGGCGTAAATTGGAAAATGCTGGAGAGACTGAGGGCTGCAAGCGTTGTAACTGTAAGAAGTCAAAATGTTTGAAACTGTAAGTTCCTGCATTTTTATTTCTGTTCAATTGAGTCCTTAATGAGGATCTATGAACATTGTTTGAGTTATGTATGAATGTCCGATCAATTAATCTGGTTGTAGGTTTCATTATCAATTTGGGGAAATAACTAAATTGTAATTGTACTCGGTTGTGTTTGGTGTTTGAAGTGAATTCTTTACTCTCAAATTGAATCGTGTTCGACAAATGAGATTAGTTATTTTATGGTGCTCAAATTTTGAATTTTTGATATATAGCAGGGGAAATTTCCTACTCTTGAACTAATTTTTTTGATTCATCTCGCAGTTACTGTGAATGCTTTGCAGCTGGTGTGTACTGCATAGAACCGTGTTCTTGTCAAGAATGTTTCAACAAGCCTATTCACGAAGACACCGTCCTTGCAACTCGCAAACAGATCGAGTCTCGCAACCCACTTGCATTTGCTCCTAAAGTGATTAGGGGCTCTGATTCTGTTCCTGAATTTGGGGTTAGTAAATAAAGCTTACTATTTATGCTTTGTTGGCAAGTTATACGTATTTTTGACCTGGTTGCAAATTTCCTTTTTTTCTCCCCCTCAATTTTAGGACGAGTCCAGCAAAACCCCAGCTTCAGCTCGGCATAAACGAGGATGCAACTGCAAGAAATCTAATTGTCTAAAGAAGTACTGCGAGTGCTATCAGGTTTCTCCCACTTATCATATTATTCTTCATGTTTTTGGTTCTTAAATAATCTGATTCTGGTTTTCTTTTACAGGGCGGAGTCGGATGTTCCATTAGCTGCAGATGTGAAGGGTGTAAGAATGCATATGGTAGAAAGGATGGTAAGTGGAACTTTAGGCCTGCATGCTTTTCTTGTTAATATCAAGGTTGAAATACTTTTATATTTCAAAGTCATGTTTTCCAGGCCTTTAATTTCTTGTTATGAAATTCAGGATCTTCTGCTTTAATAGGAACTGAAACCGAGCAAGATGAAGAAGAAACAGAAGCATGTGAAAAGAGTTTGGTGGACAAACCTTCACAGAAGATTGACATTCACAACAACGAAGAGCAGAATCCCGGCTCTGCTCATCCAATGACACCATTACGGATGTCCAGGTTTGACTTCTGAATCTGTTTGTTCAGTGATAATAGTTGACATTCATAATTATTAGATCGTTAACTTAGTTTTCTGCACCAGATCTTTGGTTCCACTGCCATTCTCGTCAAAGGGCAAACCGCCGCGTTCTTCATTTCTTACTGTGGCATCATCCTCTTCTGGATTATACAGCCAGAAACATGGAAAACCGGGCATCCTTCGGTCTCAACCAAAAGAGAAACACATGCCGACAATTCCAGATGATGAAATGCCGGAGATTCTCCGTGGGGACGGTTCTCCGACCACTGGCATCAAGACTGCTTCTCCCAACAGTAAGAGGATTTCTCCCCCTCATTGCCACTTTGGATCGCCTAGTCGAAGGAGCGGCCGGAAACTGATACTTCAATCTATCCCTTCGTTTCCTTCCCTCACTCCCCAGCATTGAGGACTGAGGTTATGAGTTCTTTTTTTTTTTTTTTTTTTTTTTTTTTTTTTTTTTTAAGAAGTTAAGTTTTTCAATTTTCAATGTGTTAATGAATGCATGTCGTTTAGTTGTAGATGACACTCTCTTAGAGTCGTCGTTAGTAGTTGTAGAATAAAAGATGGTATGCTGCTCGCATGTCTCTAGTCTTCTTGTAAAATATGGTGTTTTAGTGTTTTACATCTTCTCTCCATTTCTTTCCTAGCTTGTTCTTGTATATTTTTAGTGATTTAACTTTCATATACGGTATCACTATTCTTCACTTCTGGAAAATAATAGCATTTTCTTTAGTCTCTTCTCGAGAAGTTTCTATTTTAACGGGTTCATAAGCATGTGTGTATGAAAAGGAAAAAAAAAAAAAGAGGACAAACAATATTACACATCCTATGTGATGAGAAACTCATTGGACAACCAAAATGAAATCTATTAAAAATGTCTTTGTGAAACTTACTACTAATTTCATTCACTTTACATAAGTATTCAAAGGGTGAAGATAAAAAACTCCAGATTTTCTACTGAAAGTTGCTTTCATTTGACCATATCTAGACCGTTTTGTAAATATGTTCCAAGTGTTTTGAACTAGCGTTTGGCAAAAGTTTTTGAGGTTTGGTTCAAATTAATGATTTGATTTTTTCAAAAAAAAAAAAAAAAAAAAAAGACCCTAACAATTCATTTACCAAAAGTTGAAATCACAAGTGTAGAACCAATTTACCAAACAGTTGTCCTTCAAAAAACTCCAAAGAGAATTCATACCATACAAAAACAAGAGAAAAGTCCTCTATTTTTCCCTCTGTCATTCAAAGACCCAACTCGCAATGATAATATACAGTAGCTGGCCAGGTTGTGGTTCGGCTAGGCCATATTTCAATTCTACACCTACATTGTGATTTCATATTGCTCATCTTGAGTTTTGCTTTAAACCCCTAGCTAGGAAGTCTTCTTTATTAAACATTCAATTGGGTTCTAAAAGAACACATTTACGTTCTATCCAAAAATAACATAATGTTATATTTCATCAATAAAATACAAAGTGATTGATAATTGCATCTCATCCGCCTCGAGAACTCAGAGTTGAAAAATAAATGTGTTGGAACAAACACTGTAGTATAAAAAGTTGAATTTAAATTTTTATAGAAAATAATACTGTGGCAAAAACTTGAATTGTAATTCGAACTAACAAAACGAACGGAGACTAAATTTATTTACTTTTTATCGTCTAAAAGAGTTCTATATTTGCTGGCTTTCTAGAGCCATGTGTCATGTCCTATTAATAATTGATCTGTATTGCAATAAGTCTGTTACAACTTCTCTATGAAATTTGTGATCCCAAAGAAACGAGAGAAAATTTGTTCCCCCAAAAAAAAAAAGATTAATAATGTCAAATGCATATAATTCTCAAGGATTTTTTTTTGCTAAAAACAACAAGAATTCGTGCAGTTCTTGTATGATTTCTGTGTTAATTTTAGCAGATTTTTACACTCAGTATTCTTGACGCAGCAAGCTACTGGTTACTGCTAGTGATAAAATCATCGTAAACATATATGACTTATCAATCATGTTAACATATAACCGCATAAAACTTATATGATTTTATAGCTTATTATGTAACAGTATTAATAATATTTATACATAATTGTACGAAGCTCATAATTTTATAATTTGTTACGTAATATTGATAATTATTCTATGTAACTAACTATATGATTTTATAATTTTTTACATGACAGAATTAATACACATATATACATGGTATGTCATGTGGAACACATGATCATTATTTCACAATTTGGCATGGAACTCGTATGATTTCAAGGAGTTCTAGCCTAAACAACCGGAATTCCTTCATTTCATGTATGGTTTCCAATACTAGTTTTTTTTTTTTTTTTTTTTTTTTTTTTTTTTTTTTTTTTAAATTTTAAAATTTAAATACTAGTTGTTATTGGGGTGGTTCTATTCACACACCATTTTTTACTCTTCACACCCCTTTAAATTAAAATTCCTTATAACAAAAACATCCTCACATAAAATGACAAAAAAAGACAAATATAAGAACTTAATTACTTATTTAAATTTTATTATAAAAGATAACTAATTACATTTTTTTTTTCTTTCAACACACGCCACATATTATATTCCAAATTTTACGTCTTTTTACTAATCATTTTGTTTAATCATTTGATTTTTTTGAAAAAAAAAAAAGAAAAGAAAAGACCCTATAACAATTCATTTACCAAAAGTTGAAATCACAAGTGTCGAACCTACTTACCAAACAGACACTTGTTTATTTGTGGACTTAGAGATTGTTTGCTAGGAAGAAAGGTGAGCAGATTACTGAGAGGATTTTACGTTGGGTGATTGTTTTGATAGAAGGGAAAGAAAAGAGAAGAGAGTGAATATTGAGTGTGTGGTTTGTCCTTCAAAAAACTCCAAAGAGAATAAATACCATACAAAAACAAGAGAAAAGTCCTCTTTTTCTCGTCTAGATCATATGCATTTCTTTCATTTCTATTTTCTCTCTGTCATTCAAAGAGCCAACTCGCAATGATAATGTACAGTACCTAGCCCGGTTGTGATTCGGTTAGGCCATATTTCAAATCCACACTTTGTGAAGCCTCGTTCATTTCACCGATTCGAGCTTTCAATTCATTTTACCGATTCGAGTTTTCAGTTCATTTCACCGATTCGAGTTTTTAGTTTTAGATTTCTACAGTTAAAAGCTGTTAAAAGCTTTCAGAAAATGTCACGTTTTAGCTCGAATTGAAAACTTAAATTTGCGAAACAAACGAGGCATGATTTTGTATTGCTCATCTTGAGTTTTGCTTTAAGCCCCTAGCTAGGAAGTCTTCTTTATTAAACATTCAATTGGTTTCTAAAAGAACACATAATTACGTTCTATCCAAAAATAACATAACGTTATATTACATCAATAAAATATAAAGTGATTGATAATTGCATCTCGGCCACGTCGAGAACTTGAGTTGAAAAATGAATTTGTGATTCGAACTAATAAAACAAACGGAGACTAAATTCATTTACTTTTTATCGTCTAAAAGAGTTCTATATTTGCTGGCTTTCTAGAGCCATGTGTCATGTCCTATTAATAATTGATCTGTATTGCAATAAATCTGTTACAACTTCTCTATGAAATTTGTGATCCCAAAGAAACGAGAGAAAATTTGTTCCCCCAAAAAAAAAAAAAGATTAATAATGTCAAATGCATATAATTCTCAAGGAGTTTTTGCTAAAAACAACAAGAATTCGTGCAGTTCTTGTATGATTTCTGCGTTAATTTTAGCATATTTTTACACTCAGAATTCTCGACGCAGCAAGCTATTGGTTACTGCTAGTGATAATATCATCATAAACATATATGACTTATTAATAATATTAACATATAACCGCATAAACTTGTATGATTTTATAGCTTATTATGTAACAGTATTAATAATATTTTTACATAATTGTACGAAACTCATAATTTTATAATTTGTTACGTAATATTGATAATTATTGCATGTAACTAACTATATGATTTTATAATTTTTACGTGATAGAATTAATACATATTGATAATACATGGTATGTCATGTGGAACACATGATCATTATTTCACAATTTGGCATGGAACTCATATGATTTCAAGGAGTTCTTGCCTAAACAACCGGAATTCCTTCATTTCATGTATGGTTTCAAATACTAGTTTTTTTTTTTTTTTTTTTTTTTTTTTTTTTTTTTTTTTTAAAATTTTTTTTTTTTTTTTTTTTTTTTTTTTTTTTTTTTTTTTTCCTTCAAAATTTGAATACTAGTTATTATTGGGGTGGTTCAATTCACACACAATTTTTTACTCTTCACACCCCCCTTTAAATTAAAATTTCTTATGACAAAAACATCCTCACATAAAATGACAAAAAAAGACAAATATAAGAACTCAATTAATTAATTAAATTTTATTATAAAAGAAAACTAATTACATATTTTTTTTCCTTCAACACACGCCACATATTATATTCCAAATTTTACGTCTTTTTACTAATCATTTTGTTTTTTAAAGGATGATCAATTCATTTTGGCCTTTTTTTTTATAAAGTTGGAATTTTTTTTTATGCTTCATTCTATCTCTTTTTTTTTATACTTTCTAAAATTCGCGGCTTTATTTTGTCTTTTGTTTCAATACCTCAATTGATGCAACAATCATGTTGTTGTCATTTTTTATATTTATGTCTTTTATTTTTCTAAAGAAAATGTAATAGTAAATTTTCTTTATGCATTAGAAAAAACATCATACCCAAAACTTCAAAAAATAAATATAAAGATAAAGAAATAATAATATTTTAAATAAAAAATTAAAATGAAACGGTGTGTGGAAAGAAAAATAAACTATTCAAGAATTCATTAATAATCTTATAAAAATAGTTAGAGTTATTCTTAAAATTAAAATAATAGGGTGCATAAAAAGTAAATTTAATCCTTTTAAAATTAAGTGGGATGTGTATTTAGAAGATGGGTGTAGAGAGTAAAAAAAAGGGTGTAAATAGAACTACTATTTTTTGTATTTTTATATATTTCTTTAAAAAGCTTAAGTAGATAGGACCTCATACTCTATATCATGTTACTTTATCAATTTTTTCAAGAAAAAATTATTAAACTTACTCTTAGAGTGCATGAGTATGAATTTTTATTTTTTACTCTTCAGTAATACCCTCTTGACTAATATAGTTATTTAATTAAAAATAATATTAATCAAATATAAAAAGTAAAAATTTAAATCCATACACTCTAAAAAATATTTGTCTCATTTTTTATTTTTTTCAATAAGCTAAAACTGTTATGGGGGATTTTTACGATAGAGAACTTTCCATTATTAATAAAAAATTATTATTTTAACTGTTAAATTAACTTTTTAAAAATATGATGTACGGTGATTAGATTGTTGAACAATAACCGATTAAAACAACATACTTGTACCGATAGTAGAAAA